TCTTTTGATAGTTAATTGGGTTGCAAATACCTTTTCTCTCTCTCCATGGTGTTTTTTGATGAACAGAAGTTGTTAATTTTAAAGATTTTTCATTTTGTGTCTGTATATTTGGAATTGTTATTTATGGGTAGTTTGGAGTATAGATATAATTTAACTTTATTCTCATGTAGATAACCAGTTGCGGTAGAATTTACCATTGAATCCACTTAGGTCTAAAGTTTTTTTTGGTGGCAAATTTTTGACTAGTGATTTAATCTTTTTTAGTGGTTACATGATTTTTTTTTTTTTTTTAAAGATTTTATTTATTTGACAGACAGAGACACAGCGAGAGAGGGAACACAAGCAGGGGGAGTGAGAGAGGGAGAAGCAGGCTTCCTGCTGAGCAGGGAACCCGATGTGGGGCTCGATCCCAGGACCCTGGGATCATGACCTGAGCCGAAGGCAGACGCTTAACGACTGAGCCACCCAGGCGCCCTAGTGGTTACATGATTTAATCAAGATTTGAAAAAAAAATTGTCAATATTGCTTAGATTTTTCTAGATCTCTGTTTTGTCTGAAGTTTTAATAGTTATGGTTGTTAACAGTGCCCTCCTGCTATCTTTAATGTGTGAAGCATGTGTAATTGTCTTTTTTTCAGTTTTGATATTGAATATTTCTCCCTTCTGTATTGTTAATTCATCTTGCTTATAGTTCATCAGTTATGGTTTGTGATTTTATAATACATTTCTTTTTGTGTTTTTTAAATTCATTTATTTTGAAATAGCTGTAGACTCATGCACTTGTATGTCTTAGATGTCTCTTTTAAAGAGCATCTGTTGGAATTTTTTAATGCAGTTTTAAAGCATTTCAGCTGGGACATTTAGCCTGTTTACACTCACTGTAATTACTCTTATTTTGTGCTTTCTGTTTGCCCTGGCTATCTTCTATTTCTTTCTGCTCCTGTTATTTTTTATTAAGTTTTGTTTTTTAATTTTTTTTAAAGATTTTATTTGTTTATTTATCAGAGAGAACGTGAGCGCACAAACAGAGGGAGTGGCAGGCAGGGGGGAAGCAGGCTCCCTGCTGAGCAAGGAGCCTGATGTGGGACTCGATCCCAGGCCCCTGGGATCATGACCTGAGCCAAAAGCAGACGCTTAACTGACTGAGCCACCCCAGCGTCCCCCTTCTGTTATTTTTTAAGTATTGATTTAATATCTTTATCATTCCATTTTCCCCATGTACTAATTTGGAAAATATGCTTTTTTCCCCCTTTTTTATAATTCTCTTAGAAATATGCATCCTTGACTTTTCAAAATCTAAAACAAACAAAAAACCCAATAGTTTCACCTTCCTCTTAGATGATACAAGACCCTTAGAGGGACGCCTGGGTGGCTCAGTCACTAAGCGTCTGCTTTTGGCTCAGGTCATGATCCCAGGGTACTGGGATCGAGTCACACATCCGGCTCCTTGCTCAGCAGGGAGCCTGCTTCTCCCTCTCCCTCTGCTGCTCCCCCTGCTTGTGCTCCCCCCTCTCTCTTTCTCTCTGACAAATAAATAAATAAAAATCTTTAAAAAAAAAAACAACCCTTAGAAGGTTAACCTCATTCAGTCCCTGCATGACTTATATATGTTTTAATATTTTTAAATAATGTTCTTACTGGACAGAAGGGGGCCTGTTTAGAATTATTGTTGTGTTTTACGGTCAGTGCTTATTTACATTTCCCACATTTTTACTACTTTTCTCTATTGCTTTTATCTTTTAGAACATCAGACTAGGGCCATTTTCCTTCTGCTCAAAGCATGTCCTTTGGGATGGCTTTTTTGTTGTTGTTGAAGGATTGCTTGATGATGAACTCTTTCCATTTTTGTTTACCTGAAAATATCTTTGTTTTACTGTCATTTATGGAAGATGTTTTGCTAAATATAGCAGTTTAGGTTGGCAGTTGTTGAGCACATTGCAGATCTCATCCCTCATTCCTTTGTCTTTTCCATTGCCACTGAGAGGTCAACTGTGTCTCAGTTCTTTTTTCTCGGACTACTTTGGTATCTTTCTCTCTGACTTTAGCTCTGTGCTGTTTCAATGCAGTGTATCTTTATCTTGCTGGGGATTGTTTGGCTTCTTAAATCTGTAAACTGGAGGTATTTTGAAATGTGTTTATTAGCTGTTCATAAATCTTGAACTGTGAATTTCCATTTCTATTGATCTATCCATCTTAATGTTTAAATCAGTCTTTTATCATCTACGTAGTATGTATTTTTTCCTGTTTTTCTTTCTTTCTTTCTTTCTTTTTTTGCTTTTCCCCTCACTTTGTTTCCCACAGCTCCACCAACAGAATGCATTGCCAAACTTGTGGATTTTTGATAATCTGATTAAGTGAGAAGTGAAATTTGACAATAAAACTCTGGAACTAGTCTTTTGGGAGAAGGGGTAGGACTGTGACTGCTCTTTCAGTTTTTTTTCATCATAATTGGTTTATTTAGATGTTTCTTCGGTTTAGATCAGTGTTGGCAATTTATATTTTTATAGTATTCAAATTAATTGGTATAAGTTGTGTATAATGTTTTATAATTTTAGGAATGTCTTCCCTGTATTTGTGGTTATAGTCTCCTTTTTGTTTTGTTTTGTTTTTTTTTTTAAGATTTTATTTATTTATTTGACAGAGAGATGCAGCGAGAGAGGGAACACAAGCAGGGGGAGTGGGAGAGGGAGAAGCAGGCTTCCTGCGGAGCAGGGAGCCCGATGCGGGGCTCGATCCCAAGACGCTGCGATCATGACCTGAGCCGAAGGCAGACGCTTAACGACTGAGCCACCCAGGCGCCCCTTGTTCTGCTTTTTAATTTTTCTTTTTTGAATATATTTGCTAAAAGTTTATTTCATTCTAAAAGTAACAGGTTTTATTTTTATTGATTAACTCAATTGGCCTTTTGTTTTTGTTTTAAGTTTGGCTTCTCTTTTTAACACTACTTTTATCATAAGAAATGTGTCTGGAGCATACTTTGTTTTCCCTTAATAAGGGAAGGAGAATTGCAGAATTAAATCCATTGCTTATATTCTGTATAAAGACTCACTACCTTCCTTAGCATGGTGAAATAGACCCTGTTTAGAACCTTTGAGTACACCTGCTCCCTCCCTGGTTAGAAGAATACTCAAGACCCTAACTTCTGAGATTAATTTGACCAGTTGAAGTACCTGCTTTACCCTGTGGTTATCCCCTACTTCTCTGTAAGCCACTGTTAGTGAACAGGCCTGTTCTTTTGCCCAGGACTTTCGGGATGGGATATTTCTAGGGGTGTGAGCGGTAAAAAAAAAAGTTACCTTTGTTATGGCATGGATTAGCTCACTTTCTCTTTCATCATCTGTAATCAAAATAATCCAAAGCAGGTTTTAAAATGTAATTGTCCCTGAGAAAAATTTATTCTTAGGATTTTCTTTTAAGAGGTACAAAACTACTTAACAGTGTCCTTGTAATAAAATACAGTAGTGAGTTTAATGCAGCCATCTCATTGCAGGCTGATAGTTTAATTTAGAGCACAAATTAGGGGTGCCTGGGTTGCTCATTTGGTTGAGGGTCTGCCTTCCGCTCAGGTCATGAACTCAGGGTCCTGGGATCAAGCCCCATGTCAGGCTCCCTACTTGGTGGGGAGTCTGCTTCTCCCTTTCCCTCTGCCTTTCCCCAGCTTGTGCTCCCTCTCTCCCTCTTTCTCTCTCAAATAAATAAATAAAATCTTTTTTTTAAAGAATTTTTTTTAAAGATTTTATTTATTTATTTGAGAGAGAGAGAGCACGAGAGGGAAGAGGGTCAGAGGGAGAAGCAGACTCCCTGCTGAGCAGGGAGCCCGGTGTGGGACTCGATCCCCGGACTCCAGGATCATGACCTGAGCCGAAGGCAGTCGCTTAACCAACTGAGCCACCTAGGCACCCTAAATAAAATCTTTTTAAAAAAGTAAAACACAAATTAGTAAATCCAGTTTGATAAAGAGCCAGAAAAAGGTCAGTTACTTTAATGACACCATATAAACTTTGAAATGGTTCCAATAAAGGGTGCATAACTTGAACGTGGAAAGTATGGCCTCCAAAGAATTTATATAGCATAACAAGAGAAAATTTGGTAGATATAAGATTATAAGCATCTATTTGATATTCAAAAATACTTTTTACTGTCAGGTTGGATTCTGAGGATGTTAAAACAATCTTCAGAAATTGAGTATTAAATCCAGAAGTAAGTATGCCACAGTTAAATGAAAAAGTCATAGTACATGGGTATATCTCATTTTACATAATGGATATAATCCTCCAGAAATGTTTTTTAAGAAAGCAATTTCTTTCCCTTTGGATATACTAAACACTCAAAGTAAGTTTGCTATTTTAAATAGTTCATAATCAATCTACATGATTCTTTATGAATTTAAGTGAATTTTGTGAGTTAAGATTTTCCTGTGTGTTTTCTCTATGTACAACACAATAGTGGTAATGATTCTCTAGGATCTCCTGAATAGATTTTCCTCTAGCAAATGCAGATATGTTCAGGAAATGCAGGTGCATGTCTTCAGTGACTTTGTTAAAGCATGAGACAAAAGTAAAGATGTCCTTGGATCAGGCCAAATACTTCATGGCCCCCAAAAGTTTTATTTTTGGTAGGTTTTGTTAGGGCTGCCTGGCTTAGTGGGTGAGCACCCCCATCCTGACCACAGGTGCTGATATCAGCATCTCCTGGGGATCTATGGAGCACTCAAAATCATATTCAGTAGACCTTCTATTTTTGTAAATTATACAACAGAGTCCCATGAAACTGTAGCTGGTGAATTTATATGTATGATAATGGTAAAGCTTTATAGGGGCACTGATTTAGAATAATCGGGGATCACTGTAGTGAAAAGACGTGGATTTCAGATTAGGTCTGGGATTTGCAGTCAGTCATCATTACAGCATTACCGAGAGCCTGTGGGCAAGATCCTTGAAGAAATTGAAGTTTGGAGCACTCACTGTAAAATAACAAACACCTGACGGAGAGGGTATTGGGATGCATCAGAGAAAGGGTAAGACCAAGGGCACTCTGCTTGTTCGACCAGCCCTCAAACCAGATTGCAGCTCCCACGAACCCTCTACCGGGTTCTGTGGCTGGGGTTCTGGGGTCTGCGGCTGCCCTCCGCCGGCTCGCGGTTGGCGGTCCTCGTTGACTTTTAAAAGGTGCCGCCCCGCGCAACCCTGGCCACCGCACTGGCCTTCGCTGGCGGGAGGGGGCCGACGGGCCGGCTGGGCAGAGGTGCAGCCCCCTCCCCCATGCACCATGAGGTGAGGAGGGAGGGGCTGGCCGCCACCCGCAGCTCTGCTCCCCACTGCTGCCAGGGCGCCCCACTTGGCCAGCGGGCTGTCTTCCTTAGCGCCGGGTGCAGACGAGACTGGGAGAAAGGACAGATTAGGTGTCTAACCTTCAGAGCACTTCAGAGAGTGAGACTTCAGTGGGGCCACCAAGACAGGTTGGATGGTACTTACAGGTTTACCGAACTCCTGTGCTCCTAACTCCTCACCGGATTCTCTAAGTACGGTAGTGAGGAAACCCTTGCAAAACTTCTAGAGAGAGGGCATCGCTTCTTACAACTCTACTGTGTGTATAGATTTATAGGTCACCTTTTGAAATGTAAAACAGTGAGTACACATGTTTTGCCCTTATAGCAAAGGTCCTTTGGTTTTTATTCCTTCTGTGTATGATTATCTGGGCATTAGAAAACATTTAAACTTTTGTACATGGCAAACTTCTTTACATTTGTAAAAAATTTTATGAAAATCATATCTTATTCTATAGTATTTTCTCTTTTTAACAGGGATTCTTTGTTTCATGGGTCTCTGTTGTTTTGCCTCATGAGAAATGTTATTTCCATTTGTTTTCTCTGTTTTGTCTTCATATTTAAAAACTAGCTTGCTGCTATTTAGGGCTATGGGAGATCCTTTTTTCCAAAATGCAAATTGCTTTACTTATCCCAGATTATATTTATGCTTATGTAAAATTTTAGATAATACAAAAAGTTAGAAAAGATAAAAAATACCTATACTTGACCCACCTAAAGATAACTTCGTATTGAGTATTTCCTGTGGTGCTAGGAGCTCTGCTGGACCCTGGGGAACTTTGGTGAACAAGTATGTGCCTCTATGGATCTGGCATCCTGGTGGGGAAGCTGCACCCCCCCAAAAAGTAAATTGATAAAATAATTGCATGTCGTTGTAAGGAGTGCTTTAAAAGACAACACCTACTTTAGGTGGGGTGGTCAGAGGTTTATCTGGGGGAATAACTTTTAGATTTCACTAAAGGAAGAGTGGGAGCTAAGCCATGGACAGAATAGGAGAAAGAACATTCTAGTCAGAAATAACAGCAGGTGCAAAGGTCTGAAAAGGGGAAAGAGCCTGAATCAGAAAGATCATTGTACCTGGAACTTAGTGGTAAGTCAGGGGAAGGTGGATCAAGGTGAATAGAAAAATGATCTGGAAAACAATTTTTTGATTTATTCATTACATAAATGTTTATTGAAAACTGTGTACCAGGCACTGTTCTAGGCATTGGGGATACAGCATGGAAAAGGACAAAGTTTCTGTAGTTGCTAAGCTAATAAACTAGTGGTGGGAGGATAACCAAATAAACAAGAAAGATACTGGATATTTTGATAAGTGTTAGGCAGAAGAAGACCATTGTTTGAACTGTGGTGTGTGGTCTTAGTGACTTTATATAGATACATATGTTTCTCTTTTGTGGATCTACCTTTCTTTCCCCTAAACAATTTATGGTAGGACTTTTTTTTTTTAATTTTTTAATTTTTTATTGTTATGTTAATCACCATACATTACATCATTAGTTCTTGATGTAGTGTTCCATAATTCATTGTTTGTGCATAACACCCAGTGCTCCACGCAGACTGTGCCCTCTTTAATACCCATCACCAGGCTAACCCATCCCCCCACCCTCCTCCCCTCTAGAACCCTCAGTTTGTTTTTCAGAGTCCATCGTCTCTCATGGTCCGTCTCCCCCCCACCGACTTACTCCCCTTCATTCTTCCCCTCCTGCTATCTTCTTCTTTTTCTTTTTTCTTAACATATGTTGCATTATTTGTTTCAGAAGTACAGATCTGTGATTCAACAGTCTTGCACAATTCACAGCGCTCACCATAGCACATACCCTACCCAATGTCTATCACCCAGCCAGCCCATCCCTCCCCCCCCCCACCACTCCAGCAGCCCTCAGTTTGTTTCCTGAGATTAAGAATTCCTCATATCAGTGAGGTCATATGATACATGTCTTTCTCTGACTGACTTATTTCACTCAGCATAACACCCTCCAGTTCCATCCACATCGTTGCAGATGGCAAGATCTCATTCCTTTTGATGGCTGCATAATATTCCATTGTGTATATATACCACATCTTCTTTATCCATTCATCTGGATAGGACTTTTTTTTTTCTTCTTTTTTCTTTTTTTTGACATTTCTGCATATACCATGTATTACAGATTTGTTATATTTTTATGTAATAATTTTAACTCAATTTTTAAATATCAAGAGCTAAATAAATAATTTGCACTGTGTCTTGAGTTGGAGGTACAACTCACATAAAGTTAAGTTACCTAATTTTTTTAATGTTATTATAAAAATCTTTTTTTTCTTTCAAAATTTTTATTTAAATTCTAGTTAGTTAACATATAGTGTAACAGTGGTTTCAGGAGTAGAACTTAGTGATTCATCACTTATATATAACACCCAGTGCTCATCATAATAAGTGCCCTCCTTAATACCCACCTCCTACCCACCTCCCTCCATCAATTCAGTTTGTTCTTTATCCTTAAGAGTCTCTTATGGTTTGCTTCCCTCTCCCTCTTTTCCCCCTTCCTATATGTTCATCTGTTTTGTTTCCTAAATTCCACATATGAATGAAATCATATGGTATTTATCTCTCTGACTTATTTTACTTAGCGTAATATAAACAGCTTCGTCTACATCATTGCAAATGGCAAGATTTCATTTTTTGATGGCTGAGTAATATTCCATTGTACAAATATACCACAATTTCTTTATCTGTTCATCAGTCGATGGATACTTGGGCTCTTTCCATAATTTGGCTATTGCTGATAATGCTGCTATAAACATAGGGGTGCATGTGCCCCTTCAAATCTGTGTTTTTTGTATCCTTTGGGTAAATACCTAGCAGTACAATTGCTGGATTATAGGGTAGTTCTATTTTTAACTCTTTGAGGAACCTCCATACTGTTTTCCAGAGTGGCTGCACCAAATTGTATTCCCACCAACAGTGTAAGAGCGTTCCCCTTTCTCCACATTCTCACGAACACCTGTTGTTTCCTGTGTTGCTAATTTTAGCCATTCTGACAGGTGTGAGGTGGTATCTCTTCGTTTTTTTGTTTGTTTTTAAGATTTTATATATTTGAGAGGGAGGGAGGGAGGGAGCACAAGCGGGAGGAGGAGAGGGAGAGGAAGAAGCAGACTCTCTGCTGAACAGGGAGCCTGACATGGGGTTTGATCCCAGGACCTTGAGATCATGAACTGAAAGCAGATGCTTAACCGACTGAGCCACCGAGGCGCCCCTCTCATGGTGGTTTTGATTTGCATTTCCCTGATAGTAAGTGATGTTGAGCATCTTTTTATGTCTGTTAGCCATCTGGATGGTTGCTTTGGAAAAGTGTTTATTCCTGTCTTCTGCCTATTTCATAACAGGGTTGTTTGTTTTTTGGGTGTTGAGTTATCTTTTTTTTTTTTATCAGTAAACGATAAAAAAACATCGTTTTTTTTTCTTTTTTTCTTTTGTTTATTTACTTGACAGAGAGAGACACAGCAAGAGAGGGAACACAAGCAGGGGGAGTGGGAGAGGGAGAAGCAGGCTTCCCGCCGAGCAGGGAGCCTGATGCTGGGCTTGATCCCAGAACCCTGGGACCATGACCTCAGCCAAAGGCAGACGCCCAACGACTGAGCCACCCAGGTGCCCCGATAAGTTCTTTATAGATTTTGGATACTAACCCTTTATCAGATATGTCATTTACAAATATCTTCTCCTATTCCATAGGCCACCTTTTAGTTTTGTTGATTGTTTCCTTTGCTGTGCAGAAGCTTTTTATCTTGATGAAGTCCCAATAGTTTATTTTTGCTTTTGTTTCCCTTGCTTCCAGTGACATGTCTAGTAAGAAGTTCCTCCAGCCGAGGTCAAAAATGTTGTTGTCTGTGTTCTCCTCTAGGATTTTGATGGTTTCCTGTCTCACATTTAGGCCTTTAATCCATTTTGAATTTCTTTTTGTGTATGGTGTAAGAAATTGGTCCAGTTTCATTCTTCTGCATATGGCTGTCCAGTTTTCCCAACACCATTTGTTGGAGAGACCATCTTTTTCCCATTAGATATTCTTCCTGCTCTGTCAAGGATCAGTTGACCATATCGTTGTGGGTCCATTTCTGGGTTCTCTGTTCTGTTCCACTGATCTATGTGTCTGTTTTTGTGCCAGTGCTATACTGTCTTGATGATGACAGCTTTGTAATATAGCTTAAAGTCCAGAATCATGATGCCTCCAGCTTTACTTTTCTTTTTCAGGATTACTTTGGCTCGTCTGGGTCTTTTGTGGTTCCATATAAATTTTAGGGTTGGTCTAGCTCTGAAAAATGCTGTTGTTATTTTGATGGGATTGCATTAAATGTGTAGATTGCTTTCGGTAGTCTAGACATTTTAACAGTCTTTATTTTTCCAATCCATGAGCGTGGAATTTTTTCCCATTTTTTTGTGTCCTCTTCAGTTTCTTTCATAAATGTTCTATAGTTTTCAGAGTACAGGTCTTTTGCCTCTTTGGTTAGGTTTATTCTTAGATATCTTACTGGTTTTGGTGCAGTTGTCAATGGGATCAATTCCTTTCTTTCTTTCTCTGCTGCTTTATTACTGGTGTATAGAAATGCAATAAATTTCTGTACATTGCTTTTATATCCTGGACTTTGCTTAATTCATGTATTCTAACTATTTTTTGTTGGCGTCTTTTGGGTTTTCTACATGTAGTATCACGTTGTCTGCAGATAGTGAAAGTTTGACCTCTTTTTTGCTGATTTGGATGCCTTTTTTTTCTTTTTGTTGTCTGATTGCTGAGGCTAAGACTTCCAGTATTATGTTAAATGGTAAAGGTGAGAGTGGACATACTTGTCTTGTTCCTGACTGTAGAGGAAAAGCTGTTTTTTCCCATTGAGGAAGATATTAGCTGTGGGTCTTTTGTATATGGCTTTTATGATGTTGAGGTATGTTCCATCTATACCTATACTTTGTGGAGG